TGATAGATGACTAGCTACAAAGAAAAGAGCACCCCAACACGCTTAATCACTACCACCACCTCCTTTTTGGAGAATGGGACATGAATTATACTAGTATTTCTATACTCTCTTATTGATTGTTATATGTATAGACAAGTTTATTTAATAAATTTTTTATCATAGATATCACAAGAGTTAATTTTGTTTATTAATTTATTATTATATATGTCGACAAGGTTGTTATATATTCAATGAAAAAGTAAATTCCGTTATATATATATAGACAGGGATAATTTTGTATTTTGATATATTACTGTTATTTATTCCCATGTCTTTTGTAATCCAATCAAACATTTTTATGTTTATGGATCATCTTTTTTCAGTGGCATACCAAACAAACTCATTGCTTTTTGTAATCCATTTTGCCTTTTAAATGTCTCTTATATTAACGTTTAAGTTTAAATTAAAGTTGATGATATATTATCTCTCATCTCAACAAAGCACTTACAAATCATGTGTGTGTATCCATGGAACCAGTTTCGGTACTCATTGCTTTGATGAGCACTTTACACTCATCATATCTGGACCATCTACATCTCATTTAAATGGTCAAGATTTGATTTCTTTTTTATTTTTATTTGTTCAAAATAATTATTTTAACATGGATAAAATCTAAAATAAAGATAATATCTCAACTATAATTTTTTTTCAAAAAAAAGTTTTTTATTTAAAATAACTAATTAAATTTTAAATCTAAACCATTCAAATTAGATATAGATAGTTGAAATTTAGGGGGTGTTTGGATGAGGCAAAACTATGGTTTGGAGAATAGCTTCCGGAGAATAGATTCTGGAGAGAATAGATTTTGAAAGAATAGATTTTCTGAAAAAATGATTCTAATAAAGTGAGAGTGTTTGGATAATTGTTGTCAGAGTGCTTTTTGATATGTAGAAATTACTAAAAAAGACATAAGTTTAAATGATAATTACATGTAAGATATATTTCAATATATGTTTATTTGAAATAATAAATTTGTTAATAATATATATTTTGGCAACATAATAAATAAGACATAAACAATATAAATAATAAAAAATTAATGTGTATATGTATTAATAAAATAATTAAATATGTTTTTAGGAAAATAATTTATTTTTCCCACAAAAATATTATTATTTCTTAAAAATTTTAAAGATGAAATCTCATAATTTTTTTTCACAAAATTAAATAACCACACAAAAATTTCATATTAATTGTCTTAATAATAGATATTGTAACGGAATATATTTGTCCAAATAGTTTTTTTTTAACAACACATTACATTATTTGAAAAGAAAAAAGAAAATAAAAAGGACATGACTATTCTGTATATAGTGAACAATTTGATCTCTTATGGAGTCACGAAGCTGAGCCATGTGAGATAAAGATTCTATTGATGAAGGTATTAAGACTTTGTCTACATATTAACTCTCCAATTACGTTTTACATTAATGATCAGAATAATAATCTTACATTTAAGACCAATATTAACTCTCTAATTAGGCCCTACTTTAAAGACTGGAATAATAAATTTATTAATTTTTTTTGCCAACATAATAAACAATGTATAAAAACATATATTAATTTCTATATCTAGTTCTAAATGTAGGAGTTAGTTGACTAATGTGAATAGATTAAAAAATAAGTTAAGTTAATTATTTGTAATAAATAGGTGTTATATTTTCTACAATATCCCTATTAATCAAGTTTATTGGTTATAACTTGAAAAACGATACACAAATATGAGAAATAAAGTAGATTAGGGTTTTATATTTAAGACAAAATAAAAGTCAAATAAGGTCTTATATTAAAAACAGTATATAGTAATTGTTAATATGTGTATATATAATTATAAAATATAAGATTATGTTTTTATAAAAATAAATAATTGTTTTCAACCAGGAAAAAAAAAACTGTAGGGGGTGCAAAATTTTTTTGCTTATTACAAAATCTTGGTTTTGATAGGCAAATATGATTTTATCATAAAACCATAGTTTTAAAAAATTGATAGATATTTAGGTAATTTTTTTCCAAACTATGATTTGGGTCCGCAAATCATGTTCCGGCTAATCACCCAACACCCCTTAATGAGTTTAAAGAATTTGTCAAAGCCATCAACATCAAAACTGATTCCGTGCATCCATGAAGTCAAAATGGTTTGGAGACAGATATGCATTTATTGATCCTATGCCCCTCTAATTAAAGCATATTTCATCATGCTCTTTTTTTTTTTTTTTAGCAATATTTGTGTAAACCGTTGACTTTGTTTTCACCATGTTGCTGAGTACTTCGCACTGTTGTTCAACCCTATTGATGAAAGGTTGGAATTAAATTGGGCCCCCTCTTTTGTTTGTTTTGTCTTGAAAATATATTTCTGTCGGAGCATATTTTTTAGTTTTAGTAATTAAATCTTCATACTTATAAATTCAAGATATGATTTATAAAAAGTTAGATACATATATTATTTATTAATACATATACATATATTAACAATATATATTATGATCTATATTGAAAATTTATTAAAAAATAATTTCTAAGTTCTTACAATATTTTATATGTCAATTCATATATTTGGTTTTCAATTCTGCGCGTGCGTGTTGCATTGTCAGTCCTGAGAGCATTAATTGGTAGAAAAATTATAATAAGGTACCACTTAAAAAAATTAAATACAAAAAACTTCCTTAAAATAATTAAATTATTCTAAAGTTTTAAAGAACCTCATTGTAATAAATTTTATTTATTTAATTACCAACTAAAAGAATAGTCATTTATCACTTTAAGGTATAAGGATTAATAACTATCGTGACAGGTATTGATAATCACAAAATGTAATGCATGATTTGTCAATTCTTACCACGATAGTTATTAATATTTACATCTTAAATTGTTAACAATTACTCTTTCAGTTGTCAATACAAACTTAAAAAAAAAGAGTAATTTGGTAATTAAATAAATGAATTCTCTTGCAATAAGATTTCTTGAAACTTTAAAATAATTAGATTATTTTAAAAGACTTTTTTATTTAATTCTCTTGGACAGGATTTTGTTGCAATATTTCCTTAATTGGTAGAACCTTTTGATTTTCATATGAAAACTGAAAAGCCTTTGGTTGTTTGTTCTTTACTCTATATAAATATATATATATATATATATATAATTTAATGTCTTTTCTGATTATGATATAATTCCTCTTAATGCCAGTATGAATAAAATGAATAAAATTTTTTTAAAGTATATATTATTAAATTTGAATGTTGGCAAAAAATATTATTAGATCTAAATAGTGATTTTCAGAAACTTATTAAGGTTGTGATTTAATGTTATAAAGTAGGCAACATGTTATTTCCTCCGTTTTTATGTACTTTTATTTATATTACAAAATTGGTATTACATTTATGCTACGTTTGGATGGGAAGAAAAATTTAGAAAAAAGAAAATAAGATGAGAGAAAATGGAGAGAAGAGAAAACTGAAGAAAAAAATATTATCACATCTTCTATTTCGATGGATGAGAGAAAACAAAAGAAAAAAACAAAAATATAAATATAAATAACCAAAATATCCTTATATATAAAAACGTATCATATTTAAAATCGAAGTCAATATTAAAATAGCAAAATGATATTAATGTTAGCATAATCAAATAATTTGATGAACACATAATTTCATAATTTTGTATTTTAAACCAAATAATTTATTAATTTTAGAGAAGAATATTATTTTTGAAGGTAATAAAGTGGATAATTTTTAAAAGAAAATATAATTAAAATAAATATATAAATTAAACATTATCCAATGTTATTAATAAATGCGTGGCTAGATTTGAGAGCTTACATGTGCAAAGCCAAATATTCAAAATGGAAAAAAAAAAAGGTATGAGGGAGAGAAGGAGGTGTTTAGGTAATATCAAAACCATAGTTTTAAAAATGTTTTTACAGTATACGAAGTAAATATGTGAAGAAATTTGTCTCGATTTGAGAAAAATGTTTCTGAAAAGTGATTATCTAGGTATCCAAGCATCCCCAAGGACAAGCACAGAAAAATGAGTTTTTTTAATTGTTTTCCTTAATATGTGGAGAGAAAAGTTGGGAGGAAAATAGGGTAGGTCCCAAACCTCATTTTCTTCTCAACTTTTCTTTCCTTTCATTTTTCCTCCCCCATCTAAATAGGAAAAACCACACTGCTTTTCCTTTTTTCCCCCTAATTTTCTTTACTCTCTCTTTTTCTCTCCATCCAAAAAGGAGTGAAGGATGGAGGCAATATAGAAGTAACATGTATATAAATTAATTTATATTTTTAATTAGAAAGTATAAAACTTAAATGACCAAATTTAATCCAATGACTTATATTCCAGCTAGTGAAAGGAAGTCATTCCCTTTACAATTATGGAGGATTATAATGAGATTGTAAAAAAAAAATTATAAAACAAATCTAAGAAGTTGTTATTTTTTATTATGAAACTTTACAAGTTGTTTAGATTTTTATTAGGACTTTTTTAGTAATTATTTTTTTAAAACTTTATTATAATTCTCCCCTTACAATTAACTTTTCCCCTTTTCCTATCTGCTCTTATATGTCTCAAATCGTCATTTTACTTGTAAAAAAGCGACGCGGGAAAGCAAAACCATGACACCATAACTTATTTTTCCTTTATTTTACGTTGTTATAATTTGTCTAATTAACATTTAATCCGATAACTAAATTTAATTATTCTTAGTCATTCAAGGAAACTTGTGTTCCTAATTTGGATACTGGCATTTTAATTACATGAATATTCAGATTTGCCAAATGAAAATCAAATACTCCAAAATCATGAATAATTTGGAACTCCATCAGAAATCTGGAAACTTACTCATTGAGATATATATATATATATATAAATATATATATTCATTCATTACTAATTATTCAACATACACACACACATATTCAACGTTCTGTCTGTACAATTGTGCCACGGACCTGAGAGTACACACAAGATCATAAATGTTCTTTCCATTGTATATGAATCCAATCACCCTGAACTTTTCTGAATATCAGACGAATCAAACAGCCAAGCACTTATTTATTGGTACTCTGTGTGTGTGTATGTATATGTATAAAAGGTTAAGGATATTTTTGTACTCGAAATATTTATAAGAGAGTTGCTAGCATCTCAAAGTTTTTCTCTCTCTTAATATTACTTGAAAGTATTAAAAAGAGAATAATGTCGCCTTTGTCATCAAAAATTACTAATGACGTTTAGACGAGTAATATTACTCATTTTTTAATATTTTTTCTGTTCTAAATATAAGAATCATTTTGGAGTGCAAATTGCACCATAAAATGAATCTTATATTAAAAACAGGAAGAGTACTTTCAGGATAATACTGGGAAAAAAAAAAAGGTTATGAGTACATACAACTTCTTTCACTAGAGAGCACAAATACCCTTAACCCCACACACAAATGAATTTGCCAAAACAAAAACACACACAAATATGCTTATTAGCAGAAGGAAAAGACATAACCAACCAGATTTATAACCTCAGATTCTTCTTTCCGTACCGGAAAACTTCAATGAGAGTTCATGGTTTTGAAATGGTTCGTCACGGCCTGTCCGGCAGACCCATTTGTGAGACTATAACCGCCGTCGATCACCAAGTTAAGTCCACTCACATACTTTGATTCATCGCTTCCAAGATACATAGCTGCTTCTGCAACATCTTCAGCTTTCAGAATCACTCCCTTCAGATTCCCAGCTTCTGAATATACCTTTTCTATGTCCTCCTTCTTCATCCTCAGGCCGTTCACCATCATCGGCGACGACACCGCGTACGGCGACACACAGTTCACTCTGATGCCGTGCATGCCCAGCTCAACGCTGAGGTTCTTTGTTAGTCCCACCACCGCGTACTTCGACGCCACATAGTCGTGCGCTAAGCCACCGTGGTTCACCGACGCTATACTTGCCGTGAAGATGATGCTCCCTCCTTTCGCCGGGATCATGACCCTAGCCGCGTGCTTGGCCACGAGGAAGCATCCGTACACGTTGACTGCGAAAACTTGCTTGAAGAAGTCCTCGGTAATCGCAAGAACGGAAGGGTCTGGATTGCCAGAGACGCCGGCATTGCCGTAGGCTATGTCAAGCTTGCCGTGCTTCGAGATTGTGGCGTTGATTGCCGCTTCGACGTCGGAATCGCTGGTGACGTCGCAGTGGACGTAGGAAATATTGGCTCCGCCGCCGACGGAGGAGCATATCTCATCACAAAGGGATCGGCCGAGGTCATCTTGAACGTCGGCGATCATTACCTTGGCACCGTGACGGACGAAAACCCTTGCAGTGGCGGCGCCGATGCCGCTGGCACCGCCGGTGATGAAAGCCACCTTACCTTGTAACCTGTACAGATCGCGGCAATTATATTGTTTTCCCAATATTAATTAAGCAAACAGGAGATTAATCAGCATTATCCGAGAAAACATGCGTCCGTTCGATGAATTTAATTAGTGATGTGTCTTGGTGGGTGTGTGTGTGTGTGTGTAGGTTTGGGATTACCTCTTAGCGGCGATCGGAGTGACTGATGAAAGCCCTTCTTCCATGATTTTTTTTGTTGATCTCAGGTTTAGAAGACCGAAATTATATATGTTGTCTATGTTAATTATACCAAGGCGCATACAATAAGCATATATATAGAGAGAGACATAAGCGTGTGGGGTGAATCCAAAAGTAATTAGTCGGCAAAAAAAAACAAAAATCAAACGTAATCAGGATAATTCGGGTGAAATATGAAATATGCGTAAAATTTATGAAATTAATTTTTTTAATAATAAATACTGCTCTCTAGTCCTTAGTGAGAGTTAGTTGACTAATTTAAATAGATTAAAAAAATTAGTAAAGTTAGTGATAGGATATAAAAAGAAATAATCATGATTTTGTTATATTTCTAGAATATTTGAACTATTTAGGATACAGATTAGTTAGATTTTTATGATTCATTTAGATTTATCAGTATTTTATTACTTTATTATTAGAATTAGCCGTTGTTATTATTATTTTCAATTTTATTATTATTTTAGTATAAGTAATTCTGAGTTGTTCATTAGACAGCAAACTTGATTATTGAATGATATTACAGATTTGCAGTTATCATTTTCTTTAGGCTTATCTCCTTCTCTCCGTTATCTATTTTCCCTTTACATCAATTAGTTATTTATAATAAATATGTACTGTCTTTTTTAAAATACTTTTGTTAATCATGTGTATTAGTAATAATTATCATTTGATGAAATTTTTAATATGTGTAACTACGACAAGGATTATTTTAAAAAATAATGGATAAATATGATAGACAAAATAAATTAAAATATTATATTTAAGATTAAATTAAATATCAAATTAATTCTTATATTAAGAATTAGAGGTAGTATTATGAAATTCTAATGATTAAAATGATACTCAATATTACACTTCAATGCAAGAAGTATGCTCGGCTAGTTTGTGTTTTGGCGGGACTCATTCAAGGCATCTTTGGTAGTTACGGTTAGCAAATCTTGCCTTTTTCGGATGAGTAGTTGCTTAATTTATTGTTTGTTTAATATTGAATTGTATTGCTCCTACCCTTAGTCATTCTCTAAAAGTATTTTGTGTTCCGTTTTATATGTTATTTTGTAAAATGTTGAAGGTAATTAATATTCCTCTGATCTTTAATATAAGACCTATTTAACTAATTTGATTAGATTAAGGAAGTTAGATAAGTTATTTAATTATAAGACATATGACATATTTTTCCTAAAACACCATAATCATCTTCCTTAATATCCTCTCTCCCTTTTCTACTTGATTATAGTTGACAAAATATCCATAGGGGTAATTTAGAAAAAATTGATAAATATAAGAAATAGGTCTTATATTTAGGACCAAAATTAACTCAACAATTAGGTCATATATTAAGAACCAAAGGAGTACTTTTTTTTAAATATAAGAACTAGCTAACTAATTTATAAAAATTAAAAAATTAGTTAAATTAATTATTAATGGTAAACGTGTTGGTAAATGTCTGTAAGATTGTTCGTAAATAGAATTATAAATTTGTAAGATAAAATAAATCAATATCTTACATTTAAGATCAAAAATTGATCACCTTGTAATTAGCTAAATGATTATCTTTTTTTAAATTTTCTCTAATATTTTTTTTAAATTAGGGGAATAGGCATGGATGATCTGAGATTATGAGTGGAATCGAATTTACAATCTCCCACTTACTAAAGAGTTTTCACACGATAAGATCATAAGGCCATTGACATTCTTAATGATTTTAGAAACATGATATTTTGAGTAAAAAATATCAATAACTCATACAATTTCTAAAATACGTAACTAAACATTTTAGAAGGAGTCTTTAAAACAAGGGATCTATCCCCGGGGGGTCCTTCATGTTGAAAGAACTGAATGTACTAAATCAAGAAATTTATATTATCTTCAGTTTTAAATATAAATTTTAGTTTGTGGTATAAATTACATTATAAATTAGATCTTATATTTAAAATTTGAGGTAGTGTTATATAAGTAACACAGGGTTTATTACCTTAAAGTTAATAAAGGATGTAGTCACAATGATTTGAATTTTTGATTCAGATACACTTATAGAGCCTATATCATTATAATTAAAGCATTCATTCATATTACTTCTTCCGGTCCTATATATAAGTTTTAAATAACCAAATCACGTTTAACGAATTAGTTTTTAAAATTAATTAAAAATAATAAATAGGTTAGAAATGTTTTTTTTTTCAAGTTTGTCTTTATTTATTAAGAGAGTAAATGAGAGAGGCAATAAATGAAAAAATGATGAAAGAGAACATATGGAAGTAATACTAACATGAGAGAGTAAGTACTAATATAGTTAACTAAGGACAAAAGAGAAAAAGAAATAATAAATGCTCAGATAAACTAAAAAATAAAACTTATATTTTGGACTAAACTCTTCCTGAAAAGTGAAGTTTATATATAAGATTGGGGGGAGTATTTTGCTTCATTTGTGAACAATAGACTTTATTTTCACCCAGTTAATTGGTTGAGTGCTCTACTAACATTATACTACTTTTAATCCTAATTATAAGACCTCATTAGTAATCTACAAATAAAGTCTTTTAATAAGAGCGGAGGTAGTATTCTTTTTCCTTTAACCAGAACATTATATTATTTTCAACACTATTAATGAGAGGTTTGAATTAAAGCAGGGCAAGTTGGCTCTCCCTTTCCCTCTTTATTATTTTCTGATGGAGGATATTTTTAATTTAGTTATTAATCTTTCATAATTATAAATTCAAGATATGATTTTTTATTTATTAATATTTAATATATGTAAATTAACAAGATATATTATGATGAATGTAAATTTATTAAAAATAATTTATAATTTCTTATAATATTTAGTATCTTTTTTGGCCGGAATATTTAGTATCTTAATTCATATATTTTATTCTCAATTATCCGTGTGTGTCCCATTATCAGTCCTGATAGCACTAATTGGGAAAAAAGCTGAAAGCTGAAAAGTCTCTGCTATTTATTGCTGAATGAGAAAGTGTTTTTTAATTATGAGATACGGAGTAACTAAACTAGTTAGTCATAAAAATCCGAGCATGAATAAAATGAATAACAATTTTTATAAACTAGATATGCTGTTTAAAATTAAACAGTGATTTTTAAAAACTTATCAATTTTATAATTTTTAATGTTATAAAATTTAACAGTAATAAATTGGCATTAAGTTTTAAGAACAAATTCTGGTTTTTACATCATTATCAGGCGAGTTCTTTTATTTGATGTTGTTAATATACATACTATTCTAGTCTTTATTATAAGTTTTATTCTAGATATAAGTCACTCATGAGATATTTTTTTTTGTTTTTATTTATAAGTCACTTTCAACATATTTCACACAGATTAAAAAAAACTTTAAATTAAACTACTTGAACTCTCTACTAAAATGTAACAAAATTCTAATTTTACTCCAATTGAATATATACTCCTTTTAAAAAATCTATCTACACTATAATAAATAAATGATAAAATAGTACATTCATACAAAAAAATTTAATAAATTGACTTATAAATGTGACCTCTCTGTCTTATAAATAGGATTAAAAAAATATTTAATTATCATTTTTAAATTTTATTGCTATTTAATTCTTGTTAGAGAGAGAGGAGAGAAATATGAGATATGAGAATTATTTATAAACATAGAACAATATAAAATTTAGGTTAAAGTATACATTTGGTCCTTTAACTTTGCACAAGGTTTCAATTTTGGTTTCTTAACTTTACAAAACATACTTTTAGTTTTTTAACGCTAAATTTTTTTTTAAAAATAATCATATTAAGATCTTAAATGTTGATAAAATACTCTCAAATGCTAACATATTAAGTTTAATTTTGAAAACATTTATGATTGTTACAAAAAATCATCAGTAAAACCTAGTGATTTTAGGGTTAAAAGATCAAATGTATGTTTTTTAAAGTTAAGGGATCAAATTAAAACCTTGCACAAAGTTAAATGATCAAATGTATACTTTGGCCTAAAATTTAATAAAGATAAATTTTAAAAAATTTATCAATTTAGAACTACAAATAACTTATAACAAGGATACAAGAACAAAAGAAGGCTTTATTTATTTATTTTTTTAATGCAAAGAAAAAGATGAATTTTATTCACTTACTGTAAAAAATTTTAATAATTATATTTTTTCATTTAAGGAATGCATGTGATTTGGCCGGAAGGAAGCGACTAGTGGAATTGAAAGAAAAGATAGCTAGTGAATATTATGAACGCGTGCCTGGCGGAAGGAAGTGACTGCCCGGACCCACTTAAGGACTTAACTAACTCTTTAATTGACGTGACTGTGTGTGGTAAGGCTGGCTAATTACGTCCGTATTAATGGAAGATGAGATCCACTTAAATTTGAGGCCAATTAATTTGCAGACAACACATGAATGAATATATATTGTGAATAGATTTGTTCCTCATCTTCTTCCATCTCCCATCCTCCATCACATGATGGTGTGGTGTCTTCCACACCACACATTCTATTCTAATCCTTTTTTATAAGTTATTTTTAAGATTAATATTATTTTTAGTTACTGAAATTTGACCTTATTTTATTTTGGGTTCTTAAAATTTAAAAGGAGTAATTTTAATTTTTAAAATTCGGCCTCATTTTGATTTTGGCCTTCAGAAATTTAAAACTAGCAGTTTTGATTCTTAAAATTTGATTTTATTTTGGTTCATCTTAGGATTTTTTATCCTTAGAACGGCATTTTCGATCCCTTGGGAAATGACTAAAATCAAAATAATGTCAAATTTCAGGGATTAAAACTATATATTTCAATTAAGACCAAGAAGCTGTCATTCATTGAACAAAAACATTCATTTTAATAACTAAAATGAGATCAAATTTTATGGACTAAAAATTATATCAATGCTTACTTTTAATTTTTTTTTTATCAAAATAAGAAAATTTTAAATTTTATTGACTCTGTTTTAAAAGGAAATAAAAATTTCAATTTGATCCATATCTAAAGATAAGATTGACATCAAATCACTTATATCTATCAGATCAAATTCATTGATAAATTT